GCCAGTCCACGGTCTCCGCCAGGCACCGCGTGAGTGGCACAACACACTGAGGACTACACTTGCGGCTCTTGGGTTTGCTCCTTCTACTGCCGACCCGTCGTTGTTTCTGCGCACCGACACTTCTTTGCCGCCGTTCTACATCCTCGTGTACATCGACGAGTTGGTCTTTGCCACAGCAGACACTGATGGACTCGCCTACTTGAAGTCCAAGCTGCAGAAGAGACACATGTGCACAGACCTGGGTGAACTGCGCAGCTACCTTGGCTTGAAGATCACCCGGGATAGAGCACGCCGTTCCATCACCCTGACTCAGTCACACATGGTGCAGCAGGTCCCTCAGCGCTTTGGCTTCACGTACTCCTCGCCTCAGGCCACTCCTCTGCCTACTCACCACTCGCTCTCAGCTCTGCCTTTGGATGAGTCCGTAGAGTCGAGTGGCCTGTACCCAGAGCTTGTTGGCTGCCTCATGTACCTGATGACCTGCACACGACCTGACCTTGCATACCCTCTTAGCATTCTCGCAAGCTATGTTGTTCCTGGGAGACACAGACCGGAACACATGGCTGCAGCGAAGAGGGTGTTGCGCTACTTGTGCAGTACGCCGGGCATGGGGCTTGTGCTTGGAGGGCAGAGTCCAGTGGTCCTCACTGGGCACGCAGACGCTTCTTGGGCTGACGACCAGGCTACGCAGCGGTCGTCACAGGGTTACACCTTCAGCCTTGGTCGCGCCTCTGTTTCGTGGCGGGCTACCCGCTCGTCTTCTGTTCTCGGCTCCAGCTGTGAGGCTGAGATCTACGCCGGGGCCATGGCTGCACAGGAGCTTCGCTGGCTCACCTACCTGCTGACTGACCTCGGAGAGCCGCCTCATTCTCCTCCAGTGCTGTACGTAGACAACAAGGCCATGCTGGCCTTGTGTCGAGAGCAGAGACTGGAGCACAGAACGAAGCACATTGCTCTCCGCTACTTCGTTGCTTGTGAGCTGCAGCAACGTGGTCAGCTGCGTCTTGCGTACGTGGCCTCTGAGTCCAACAATGCTGATATCTTCACCAAGGCGCTTGCGCCTTGTGATCATCAGCGCTTCTGTACTCAGCTGGGTCTTGTGCCTGCCTTGCCTCACTTGCCCACCTCTTGACCTTGCTTGTACTGTTACATATATATATACACCTGCTCTTGCTTGTCTAGCCTTTTATATATACATATATACTCTTGCATGTGAACTGGCCTTATGGCCTTGACCTTGTGCTCGGAATGTGTGGTGACTTTGTGATCCACCCTGAGCTTGCTTTGTTTTACTTTGCTTGACTGGTCTTGTGACCCCTTGTACTCCCCCAATTTGCCTATGGGGGTGTGTCGGAACATTATAGCTTATGCTTTTGTGTAGGCTGTAGTGGGGTAGCCTATATGGGGTACAACCCAATTAGGGTTAGTACTTGTACCCAACTCTTTCATAGTGCATTCATTCTCGTTCATTTTCACAGGTGTTGGTCAGTCCAAAGGGCATGACAGTGTATTCGAAGGATCCGTAGCGTGTTCGGAAGGCTGTCTTGGGGTAGTCAGGCGGGTTGACGCGATTCTGGTGGTAACCTCCTCGAAGTCGATTTTCGAGAATACCCGGGTTGTGCGCAGTTGGTCGATCACTTCGTCGGCTCGCGGGATGGGGTAACGGATTTGATGGTAATCCTGTTCAGTGCTCTGTAATCTATGCACATGCGAAATCCCCCGTCTTTTTTCGGCGTGAACAGTATTGATGCTGCGAAGGGCGATGAACTAGGGCGAATGAATTTAATCTCTAGCAGGTAATCCAGCTGCTTCCTTTGTTCCTCCAGTTCGGGTTGGGTCAGTCGGAACTGTCGCTAAACTGTCGGCTGTGCCCCCGGTTCTAGTTCTATCATGTGGTCGTGCGGTCGCTGAGGCGGCAGTCCTGTCGGTAAGTCGTCCTGGAAGATGTCGCTGTACTGCTTCAACAGTGCTGCCAGATCATTCGGTACGTCAGCTAACGGTTTTTGTAAATCGCCTCCTTTGTCTGCTGCCTCGTCTTTCCGAATGTCAACCGCGCACATGTCAGCTCCTGCCCCTACGGCGCGTTTCTTCGTGATCGCGTTTACACGCATCGACGATGACTCAGGCGAGCCCCGGCGAGGTAAGGCGATGTTGTTACCGTTCACTCGCACAGTGGAATCACCTGTCTTCCAGCCGATTCGCGGATTATGTCGTCGCAGCCAATAACGCCCGAGTAAAATATCGGTTCCGTCGAGGGTCGTTGCGAGCATTTCTTGGCTAAACGTGATGTTACCCCCACATCGAATGCGAACTTGGTCCATACGTTCCCGTATCGCCAGTGGCGTGCCTTCGACCAGTCTTGCGCCGATTTCAGGTAAGCATTTGTCCAATTGCAGTCGCAGTTTTCATGCTGTAGCAGTGTTGATGAGGCTGTGGCTGGCTCCCCCGTCTACGAGTATTTTAACTAAGTCAGTCCCAAATTTCCCACTAAGTAGTATAGGGCTGTCTACCGTAGTACCCTCCTTATTTGGCCGCGATCGAAGCCGCAATTGGCTCGAAACGAGCGCCCAGACCTGCGCACCACGCGTCTCACGTGCAATACTGGGGCACCTCCACGAAATACGACGGCGCTCAGGGTCCGGTTTGTCCTTCCCGTGTCGGTAGATTCGCGTAGTCCACGGCTTCGTGACGATGACGCGCCACTAGTCCATGGCGGGTCCTCGCAGCAACGACACGGCGTAACGAATCTTCGCCGTATCCTCTGAGACGTAGTTCGCGTCGAAGAAAACGTTCAACGTGAAGAGCCACGCCTGAACGGTAGGACCACCCCGCTGACTTGGGTCAAAGCATGGCGGACGCTGCGGCTTTAGCGGCATCGGCGACGAAAGAGCTGATTCGCCGGCCGGCACTGAAATCGTGACTCGAGGCTGATTCCTGGCCGCATTCGTCGCGTCGGGGTGTGTCGTGCCGTGGTCGTCGTCTCTGTCATGGCGGACGACGCCATCACTTGCGGCGCTCGCGGGTTGCCCCACACTTCCGTGATGTGATGCCTGTGGTGCGGGTTGAATCTGGGTGCCAAGTGCTTGGGATTGTGCTCGTGTGAGGTCATTTTGCAGGGCCGAGCGTTCTGCCGTTAACGTCGCAATTTCCTCGGCGCTCTCGCGGATTTGTCGCAGAAGATCGTTCAAGTGCTCCTGCGTGAGAGTCGTGACGTCGATATGTTCAGCCATTTCGAAGGGTGTCGGCTCGTCTTAGTCTAGGCGCAGTCGTGGCTGTACGCGTTTTGGAGAGAACGCGAGGACAGCGATTCCTAGGTGCTAAGGTACGTTAGTCCCTTCGAGTGAAAAAACAAAAGTTGATTTCCTGGGGTGCGGAGATGCGCGGTCCGAAAAGGAAAGAGGCTTTGAATACCAAGTGTTACGGGTGCAATGAATCGAAGTAGCGAGAATTGCACTAAGGTGTCAAAACGAGTACAAAATTTGAACGAAGGCATGAGGGAACATTTATACACGAAACATGCAAACGGTAACGCGGTGCGTGCGAGCTAGCTAGTGCTACGCTGGAAGCGAGGCTCGGGCTAGTCCGATACGGCCAGGCCAGCAGTGCGAGGTTTGGTGAACAGTGTTCGCGAAGTCTGCGAAGCCCCGTTAGCAGTAACGGGCGAACAACGGCTGCTGCTGTACGTGATGTTGCAGGGTGCGCTAAGGAATATCAGAGAAAATTCCTTACACCAGCACATACTTGGCCTTTTTGCAGCAGCACCTACAACTTGAAAGGAAAGTGCTTTGGAGCAACCTAGAACGTTCTGGTTGCGTGCGACGTCGTCCAGCGACGCATTGCTTGCAGAGCAAGCGTAATGCGAAGATACCCAGCGGCCTTTGCGACTCAAACGAGTCACATGCGACCGAAACGACTTCCTTGCGACAGTACTATAGCAGTCCCCTACCCGACACGGATCGTCGGTGGTGTCCACTGCCCCAATCATCTCAGCGCTACGCACTTCACGGAGAATCAAACCACTTGACTTCCTCCACGTGGCAGAAGAACTCCAGGTCGTGCTCCTTCCGACATTTGATTTAGGCGGGGTCCTAATTCTCCAGAAGCGGTTCGGATCCAATTTAGAATTCGCGATTCGAGCAGCTCTGTTCCAGGAGCACCGCACGCGATTTATCTGAAATTGGCTCGAGCCCGCCGCATCGTTTCAGGCACCGCAGCAACAGCAACATCATCTGGACAATTTCACAGCAAGAGCCAAAACAGCGCTCATATCCATCTCCCACGCACGGCCCTTGCCGTGCGTTGCTCCTCGTGCCATTTCGGACTGACATTAGGGCGACTCAGCAGCGCCCCTTCTCTTGGCCCGTCCTGCTCACCTACCTCTCTTGCGCTCATGCGTTGTCGGGCCGCGACGCGGTTGTACTCGGTTTAGAGTCAGCTTCTTAGCTGGCAACCGTAACTGGCACGTCAGCTTCGCAGCAGGCAGACTCCCCAAGTCCAGTTTCGCTCTTCGTTCCCCCCCCTGCCTTCCCCCAACCCAAGCACGGCGGTCGGTGCTATTTAACCAGACACAATTCAGTCTTCGCCTTCACAATGTTCGATATCCGACTCCTAACACATCGACCTCTCTCAACTGTTGCACGCATGACCTCGTGCGACCAGCATAGACCATTCGCCCCTCTTTATAGACTCTAATATACGGCAAATGCGTAATCTTGCCTTCGCACGTTGACAGTGGACGGCCAGAAGTTCCCTACACTCAGTCGTCAGAAGATCCCAAACCGCAAATATCTTCCATCTGATCCTACACCTGGACAAGACTCGCAGCCATGTACGGCTCGGCTGCTTGTCACTCGCTCGACCCCATGGCGACAGCGCCACCGTCGAAGCCGCAATACCACCAAATAGTTCACGAAAGCGCCGGTCCGTTTGAATCACAGCAGCAGCTACCTCCCTCCTACCACACGGCGCTAGATACAAACGATCATCGCGTACAGTCGACCATGTGCCCTTCGGTACGATCACACCCGAGCCCATCGCTGCAGCCGCCCCATCCATTAGTCAGCTCCTCTCCGCTTCCCCCGCTTCCGACGTTTTCCCCGCAACCGCACATCACGCCCCCCACTCCGCCTCAGCCCCCGCGCCCATACTGCTTCGCGCAGACGCCGTCCCCGGCCCTGCGCCTTGGCTCGCCCGCCCACCCGTTCCTCCTCCAGAGCGCCCTTCATTTCCAAAGCGCGCTGCTCCCGCAGAACGCGCTACTCTCGCGCTTCTCCCCCGCGCCCCCGCCGCCCGCCAGCCCGCAGCCGCTCCACGCGCAGTTAGGCTCGACTCAGCGGTCGCCGCAGCTGTCCCACTCCGCGCTCGGCTCTGCGCAACAATCGCCGCAGCTCTTCTGCGCTGCTTCCGCATCGGCTCCGCAATCACCGCAGCCGTTTCTCGTGGCGGGGCGCGTCCAGCAGGCCCTTCAGGAGATGATTGACGGTGACAGCCCAGCCGTCACTCCGCAACTTGCGCCGCAGGGTGCGCCGACCGCAGGCCTTGCGGGGGCCATGACTCCGGTGCTGCTGCCCGCTTCCGCCATCGGCGGAAACACAGGCGCAGCTGCTGGCGGACGGTTGGGCGTAAGGAGGAGCCCGAAAAAGCCGCGGGGGGAGGAGCAGGCGGAGGCGCAAGGGCAGCGGAAGCGCAAGGCGAAGGCGCCGGGAAGCCAGCCACCGCCTCCCCCAACAGCGGCGGATGGCTCCCCCGTGCCCGCGTACCGCGGGGTGCGCTATCGGCCGTGGGGGAGATGGGCGGCGGAAATCCGGGATGCTGGGGGAAAGGGGCGCGTGTGGCTGGGAACGTTTGACTCTCCGGAAGCGGCGGCGCGCGCGTACGACGCGGCTGCGCGGGAGATTCGAGGCGCCAAAGCGCTGCTGAATTTTCCTGATGACGTGGACGAACCGAAACCGGACACGTGTCAGGCCGCGGAGGCTGGGGAAGCGGAGGCGGGAGCGGAGGCGGAAGGAGAGGCGGGAGGCGAGATGGAAGGGGAGGCGGAGGATGAGTCGATAGCGGAGAGGGAGGAGGAGGAGAAGGCTGGGAGCGGCGGAGAGGAGGGTGACAGCGAGGGGGAGGCGGAAGGAGCGAGGGCGCTGAAGCGACTGAAGAGGAGCCAGGAAGCAGCGGAGCAAGAGGCAGCGCAGCACACAGCGCAGCGCTCAACGCAACCCACAGCACAGCCCAAAGCTCAAGGCAGACCGCACGAGCTTAATGGCGGGCGAGCCGCTGTCGACTTGCTGTGCTGCGAGCCGCCGCTTGTGCCGGCGGAACCACGCGCTGCGACGTTAGCACTGCCGGCTACGCCAGCTGATTCAGCTGTAGCGGCCGCAACTGACGGTTCAGATGCCGTTAAAGCTGCTACATCAACGGCCACGATTGGAAATCATACGGTTACAGCTATACGCGCGGAGGAGCGGGTCCCAGGGATCGCAGCTCTGCCCACCACCCCTGCTGCTGCTACAGCTGGCGCTACAGCCGCAGGGGTTGTGGCCAGTGGTGCACCTTTGCACGGGGCCGCATCCGAACTCGCTACAAACACATGCGTTGGAGTTGCACAAGTCGGCAAGGAGTACCTAGAAGTCAATACATCTATTTTGATCTCCTCTCCGGCACCAGGGCCTACGCTCAAGGCTCTGGCATCGGCCAGCAGTGCTGCTTGTGTTGCCACTGGTGTTGGCGCTGGTGTTGGGGTATCAAGTGTTGCAATGGCACCGATGCTTGTTCAGGCCGGTGCTCAAGGCGCTTCTGGTGCTGCTGTTCCTGCGGGTCCTGCTGCTGTTGCTGCTGCTGCCGCTCCTGGCACTGCTGGTGGTCTTTGCGTTGCAGGCGTGGGAAGCAGCGGCTGCACGAGCAGCGCTGCATGCGCCATTCTTGGCAGTGAGCCGGTCGTTGCTGCCAGTCACATGAACACCGTGCAGGAGATGAGGCCGGTGCAACAGATGCAGCAGATGGCACAAACGCCACGGACGCAGTTCCAGGAGACTTTTGCACAGCAACTGCAGCAGCAGCAGTTATTGCTGCTGCCACCGATGCTCCTGCAGGTGCCAGCACAGCAGCAGCAGCAGCCTCACGTGCCTGAGCGGCAGTCCCAGCTTTACCAGCAGGAGCAGCAGCAACAGCAGCAGTCTTCCCTGCTGCAGCAGGCTCAGTGTTATGAGCAGCAGGCGGCACATGAGGTGCAAGGCTGGCGAGCTGGGAAGCAGACCTTCCCTGCTCCGGGTGATATGTATGGTAACACGGACGGCAGAGGCAGCACAAGCTGCCTCGCCCCGCCGGCCGTTGCAGCCAATATGTTTGAAACAAATGTCATCTACACAGTGGCGGGTGACGATGTGCCAGCTCATCAAGACGTTGTGCCAGTTCAGCAAAAGGCCTTCCCAGATCAGCATCAGGTTATTTCAGAAGAGCAGGGGTTATTTCCAGCAGCAGGGAGCGGAGGGTGCGGTGTGGATCTACCAGACATGTTCTGCGACCTTGTGCCTGCACATGCAATGCGAGGAGGCAACATGCAGCAGCGATTCAACATGCAAGCTGCCGCTGCTGCTGCCCCTCTGCCTGCCAATGCCCCTACCCCACCGGCATGCATGGATGCGTACACAGCACTCCCAGCCGCTGATGACGATGCTTTTGATGCTGTTGCTGCTTTCCTCGGCCCCGATGTCTCCCCTCCGCCTCCTCCTCCCGTCGCCTTTTCCACCTTTCAGCACGACACCCTTGCTGCTGCTGCTGCCGGTGGTGCTGCCCGCATGGGTGCTGCTCCGTATGGTGCTGCTCCGTATGGTGCTGCTTTCAGTGGTGCCGGCAGCAGGAGCATCACTGCCAGCAGGAGCAGGAGCAGGAGCATGAGCATGAGCATGAGCAGTGCGGTGAGCTGGATTGCTGCTGAGCTGGAGAGTGCTTTGGATATGCAGGAGACGGTGGGGGATCTGTGGGGGGAGGAGGGGGTGGATGACAGCACAGGCATCTGGAGCAGCAGTGTGGGAGGGGTGGCAGGCGAGGGAGGAGAGGGAGGAGGGGAAGGGAGCTTGGGTATGGGGGGAATGGATATGGGAATGGGTGGAGTCGGGTATGGAGGGGTGGGAAGGAGGGAGAGTGACATGGGTTCGACGTTCCAGGTGGTACGGAGGGAGAGTGATGTTGCGGCGTCATTCCTTGTCAGTGCCAGGGGGGAGGTGATGCAACAGGGGATTCAGGAGGAGATTCAGGGTGATGCAGCTACTGATGAGGGTGATGCAGGTGAAAGCAATCTCAACAGTGGCAGCAAAAAAAAAACGCCAATAATTGTTGACATCCAGCAGCAGGAGCAGCAGGACAGTGATACACTGACAGCTAACATTGGTAACCATTATGGTAACCACTATGGTGATGGAGAATGCTGCAGCACTGGAGGTAATAGCCAGAGTGGAGATCTCCGGGGAGGGGCATATTTGAGCAGACTTACTGTGCAACAGAAGTTTCATGGTAATGGCTACATCCCAACCCTGGTGCCTTCTCTGAGTGGAGACTGTGATACTTACGTAGACATGGAAACTACTATCTGAATGGAAACTGCAATGCATACCGTAGATACTTCGGTCTGGTCTTTGGAGTAGGTTGCTTTCTTTTACACCAAACGGTTTTCACCGTCGTTATGGTTCATCCCTCTGCTGGGTAGCATCCTGTTATTGCATGGTTGGGAGGATTGCAGTTGTCCTACCGAATCCATGCTCGTGTTAGCTGGCAATCACACAGTTAAGCGTGACTTGTTCCTTCTGGCTTTTGTCCGGCAAGTGTTATTATGTAAAAAAATTGAACGTGAAACACTTTCCAAAACTGTGTATTGTGAATAGCGAAGCGAATTTTACCGAAGCAAAGGCTTCAGCAAAACGCTACTTCCCCTCTTTTTCGGTATGAAAGAGGGGGCGAAGGCCATTTGGCCTTCACCCACGTTTTTCATTTCGAACTTTCAATTTCAAGTTTCCCTAGCATGACATGCATGGTAGCAGTGCCCTAGATATCAGACTTTTTACGCTGATTCAGCGTCCATTCAGACTTTTTTTTGGTACCTGGTCCATGTACCTTCTCTGATTTTTCAGAGTTTTTTTTATTGTAACCGTTGAAATATCAGCCAATTTTTAGGGGTGTAGGCTGAGCCTCAGACTTGTGTCAGGGGTGCACTCTGCGAGCTTAAACGAAGTTTCCTGGAAGTTTCGTTTCGATATGCCCACTTCCAAGATGGCAGTGGAGTGCCAGGACGTGAGCAACGCACGCTTCAACAGCTGGGACATCCGAATACACTCGTTCGTCGAGAATATCTCCCAGTTACACTAAGAAAATGGTTGTGTGATTACGAGATTTCGTAGACAAAATCTCGTCACATGTAAGTTATCGCTAATGTATTTTAAAGAATTGGCGATTTTGATGCTGATTCTTTGTAAAAAAATCTGCAGCATGCACTGCTGTGAAATTGCGAAGCTCCTGATTCGTAATGAAAGTTTCGTGCGGCACTGCCAGATGCTCACACACGCCACGCCAACCAACAGTTTCTGCCTGCTGCCAGCTCAGCTGCGTGGCACTTGGCCCACCTGGCACTGTACGTGACAACAACCAGATCGGGTGAATGATCACATCGCTTGAAACGCAAATGCAAAATCGACAAAATCGGCACACAGGCGAGAAAAATGGGTACAGAACGGTAATCAGACACACGACGAAACGAAATCTAATCAGCAGAAACAACCCATGCGCTACACGTGACAAAACAACCAAGGCGATGCACGAGCACGTTGCCTGATGCAAACCCGCCGACCCTGACTGGTTCGTACCGCACAGTTGAGTTGGTATGCTGTAATCAGCTTCAATGGTATTATAAATATGCTTTTACCATACTGCATCATCATCTTAAAATTTGAGGGTAACTCTGACAGTTCAGACAAGAAAAAGTTGTGCTTGTCTGAATTTTCAGACTAAATTTTTGAGGCACCTCTGACAGACAGAGTTCCAGGAGGGGTGTACTCTGAGGCGTCAGACTACCTCAAAAACGAATCCAGGGGCCTGCATGGTAGCTATTATGTTGTACAATGCTTGGACAATAAAATCTTGTACTACCCAGTTGACATGAGACGTTGCATTTGCAAGGGAAATCGCAAGCTTTCACAATCATGATTTTTCCTTGGGTGCAATTGATGGTTGGTTGGTAGTCGGAAAATCTTCAAAGCATCATAAGCAGGTCCATTCCATTGTGCAAAGTTAATTCCATATGTGAACAGAAAGCCCCTACTCCTCGGCAGTGCCACGTGAAATCAAGCTCAGAATATCTTGCCGCTTCTTCTCAATGTTCTCGTAGCTGTATTTCTCATTCATCCGCACCAACAGGTTGTGGTTGATCATCGCCCTCACGAGTAGCTCTTTAGCCTCTTCATGCTTACGCTGCAGCATCCTGTACACCTGCACAAAAATGGTTAACAGAGTGACAAATCAGGTCCATTTGGAAAACAATGACAAGCCCTTCTCAGCTTACCTGATCAAGCTCATCAACTCCTGTTGCCTCTCCTTCAAACTCTTGGCTCGTTTCTCCAATTCCTTTGTACTGGATTTCCGTAAACTGTCCGCCGCCAGCTTGCTTGACCACCATCCCCATGTTCTGCACGCCGTCTTGCTCCTGCGAAAGCAGTCAATAACGTGAGCAACAGAAGATGCCTTGCCAAGAAGTAACGTGCATCAAATTGTGCTCACCTTGATCGTTTTTACAGCAGCAGGAAAGGATAGAGTCATGTCACCTTTGTCTTGCTCTTCTTCAGCTGGTTCAATAAGAAGAATTTCTTGTGCATCAGGCTTAGAGACATTCGCCACATCCTTGCTGAGCGATGTGCTGTTTTCCCTGTGGCCAATAGTGAAGAATCAAAATCAAATTTGAAAATTGCTCCCTTGGCAAGTGGCAACCCATACAGTAGCTCGACTTCTTACAGTGCAGATGCAGGATGCTGCCCGAAAACGAATGTGTTATTCAGCTGAGATTCCATTGCTGAGGGCTTAGCTGATGTGACCGGCCAGGCTTCCTTAACTTGGACATGAGCCACCCGAGGCTGAGCTGATGTTGCCACGGTGGGATTGCTGGAAATCGAAGGCAACTTTCGCCAACTGCTGATCCTGTTTCCCAGAGCTCCATTCTCAGTTGTAGTTTTCCCCTCACAGAAAAGGCGGTTGGTGCTTGTTGATATCTAGCGTTAAATCAAATGTCACAGAAGGCAGAATATCAGAACATGTACTTCGAGACCAGTAAAGGACAATGCGAAGGCTTACCTTTAAAGGAGTACGATTTGCGACTGTAGCCGATTCACCCCCAGGCTTGATGCTCGTGCGCAATGAAATGGGAAGTGGCTTCACAGAATTATTTTCTTGGACAGTGCTGCTGATGGATCTCTGCTGTCCCGCTGGTTGACGGGGCAAATTCAAGCTGGGATCTTTGGGGGCATTTCGACTGAGCGGCAAGCTTGTAGCTCTGTTCAAGCTGAGAGAGGAGATGCGGCCGGGCATAGGCCTTCCAACACCAGCTGTCTGTCCAAGAGAACTCGCTGTTGGCATTGTAGACTGTGCACCTCTCGCCTTAAACATGGAAGCAGCCGGAACTGCTGATTCCGCACGATCTTGTCCAAGTAGCTTGACATTCGTGTTAGCCAGTCGAGCTGACTGTCCAGTTAAATTCACGTTCATTCTCGTCTGACTCAATGACGCTCTTGACATCCCTCTGCGCTTAGAACAAAATCAATACAATTCCAAACAAATTGAGGTAGAAATAAGATGTTGCGGCATACCCTTTGCCGGGATCGGATGCAGCAGATGGCTTATTCAGTTCAGGCATGCTTTTCTTTGCCATCAACACTTCAGAATAATCGCCATTTGGTGCTTGAGAATTGGCGTTTCTGCCAGACGAACTTGGGGAGTTAAGTAATGGTTGAAGAAACACGTGACCATCAAGAATTAAGGTGCTTACAGTTGTGCAGATTTCTTGGTTGCCTGTGGGTCAGCAGGCTTGGACGACCCCAGAAGTTCAGCAGGCTTGGACGACTCCAGAAGTTCAGCAGGCTTGGACGACTCCAGAAGTTCAGCAGGCTTGGAAGACTCTCGAGGCTCAGCAGGCTTGGCAGTCTCCAGACATTCAGCAGGCTTGAAAGACTCTAGAGGCTCAGCAGGCTTGGAAGACTCCAGGGGTTCAGCAGGCTTAGGGAACTCTGGCGGTTCATCAGGCTCAGAGGACTCCAGCGGCTCAACAGGCTCGAAAATCTTCAGAGCTTCCGTAGCCTCAGAGGGCTCCAGCGGTTCAGCCTGCTGAACGTCTAGACTCGTCTGACCACTCGTTGCTGGGTTAGAATAATTGTTTGAAGTCTTTGCTGGGCTGTTTCGAGCAGTTGCCTCGTTGTCAGTAGTGTTGACTTCCCTCGGACTTTCTATCTTGGATTCATTTAGTTCTGGAATGTCTTGACTCAACGCGTTAGCGTCTTGAGTTGGCTCATCCGTATGCTTTTCATTTTCAGGGAATCCAGAAGTTTCGCAATCTCCAATCTCAGTTTCAAATTCGTCTTTCTCTTCATCATTCATGGATGACGCGAGCGAAAGACCTTGGTCAAGCTTTGGCCTGAAAGATACAGCGACGTTAGGCAATGCACAACCCAGGAGAGACAGTTATTGTGTATTACCTCGCATTTGCCGGTTCAGCTTTTGGAGAGCCTGGATTCGTATCGGCGAAATCGAGTTCACTCATGGAAATGTCGAACTTACTGAAACCGCTATCGAGGTCAAAATCCACCCTGAACGTTGCAAACAAACGGTGTTGAAAGACCAAGTCATGAAGAAGACATTCTCAGGCATCACATATCGTATCTTACAGGCTGTTGAAATTGATGGGTTTTTTGGTATTCTCCCCCGGTTTATTAGGTTTGTCATTCGCTTTCCAGTCAGAAAACATGTCGTCAGCTGAAAAGGTGGCCAAACGTCAAACAAAGAAGATTGAACGGATTAAGACAATCATTACGCGAAACGTACCTGCACCAGCTGCTTTCGAGGTCGATGGCTGGGGCGTGCGGGCCCCAAACATCTCAAAGCCATCAGACTTTGCTGAGCCAAGCAAGTCATCGAGCGTGAATGACATTTTGAAGTGTTGTATGATTGTGGTGAGATGATTTCAAATGACTTGGCCAGGAAAAGAAGACTCGGAATTTATGGCAACCGAGATGGGAGTGAAGACCAGGGAAGTTTTCTGAGGGGTGAATTTTGTAACCTGGCAGCTAGTACACCACTTCCCTGGTTGTTCGTTCAACATTTTCGTCGCAAAAAAAACTCGCGAAGCATTACCGAATTGTTTACTCCCAAAATTGACGAAACTGGAATGGTTTTCTCTCGCAAACGACTCAAGCAAATGACTTCAACAGGATGTACAGCTCTCTACCGCCAAACCGTATATAACCGAAGGTTAACTCTTCGCAACTTCATGGAACATTACACAGTTTCACACATTATTCAGAGACACCATGCACCATTTCTGACTTCATCTGTCAGTCATCAAGGAGCAATGCCTGCAGATTCGGATCAAGCACATGTACCAATCCAGCACCCCAGTTTTTAGATTATGGCCTAGGAGCCTTGGACTCAGCCACCATCGGCAATGACATCAACGTCCCCTAATAACGCCGCTGCCACCGCTCTCCGCTCCCTCCTCGATTTCGGCAACTCTCTCCTCTCCGAGCTCCTGCGTTTCCGCGCCAACCTACCGCGAGACTTCCTCCGTTCGATCACTCTCCCTGCACCACCACCTCTATCAACATCGACTCAGCTCAATCCCACGCAAATCCCCTCGCCGTCTCCCGATCTCCCCTTCCCCCTATGGGACTTCGAGTACCTGCGCGCGCCGGATGACCGCGAGCGCGAGCTGCGCGATCGCCAGGACGAGTGGAGCGCGGAGCGCGCGTGGTGGACGGCGCACGGCGAGCAGCTGGTGGGATTCGTGCTGCTGCTGGCGGCTGTGCTGAAGCTGTACCGCGCGCTCAGGCAGACGATCGAAGGGCTGCGGCGTGGCTTGTTCCTGGGGAGCTCGCTGGAAGGCGTGGTGGGTGGAGATGAGGGGGACGAGATGCAGTCGCTGCTGCTGCAGGTAAGGGCGTCGAACGCATGGGTGGAAAGAGGAGATTTGATTTGAATGATACAGAATACTTAAGAAGCACTAGAAGCAGGTCAAGCAGCTGAGGATGGTTTGCAATACGATGACAGGCTAGGCTGGGATGCAGAAGGCATAACTGAACAGCACTGTTTTTTCCCTGTTCCTGTAGATGATTACATAACATTGTTGTATTGTCCATAACTCTTTCTGTGCTTATTGTTTTTTTTATTTGGACTCCCATTCCGCAGGTGCTCCACACTCACGCACTTCTGCTTCTCCTCCTCCACCATCTCTTTCCTAACCAATCACGTGAGCGCCTACTCATCGCTGCGTACCGCCACTGGTGCCGAACCTCCGGGCCAGGCTCGGGGGAGGCCCTGGGTGAGATCTTGACTCGCGACTTCGACGACCTATGCCAGATGTGCCGAACCACAGGAGCAGGGTCGGGGGAACCGGAGGCTTATAAGGGGACTGCAGGAGGCAAGAAGCTGGGGAGCAAAGCGCATGATGGCAGCAGCAGTGCCAGCAGTGATACCGACGTCTTTCTGTGGTCTCCATTCCCAAGAGAGTGTTTTGACATCGAAAAGCTGGGCCTTGTTTCAGGCTTGGACTCTGGTTGGGACGTAGCTCTGGGATCAGGATTGGGGTCAGAGGGTTCTGGTCTGGGCATTGGAGGGGCGGAGACTGCTGCGTTTCTGTCACTGCCGTGTGTGATAGCGCCCACGGATACCCACAGCCTGGAGCAGCTCTTCTCCCGCTTTGCTCCCCCGCCTGACGTCACATGGATGGCCATCCAGTCTTTGCTCAGGAAACAAGCTGCTGCCATCGACTCCTCGCCTGCCTCGTCCTCCACTTTCAATCTAGCCCCTTCGGTTGTCTCGTCCTCCCACTCGTCCTCTGTGCATGCATCCACGTTCTCCTCCTTCCCTCCAACGCAAGCCCCCTCACAGGCAGGAGCAGCAGGAGCAGCAGCAGCGCATACACCCCACGACCCTCTCTCCGCAGTGGCAGCAGTGACAGCCTCTCTCCCCTCCACGTCGTCGCTCATCCTGCTGCTCTTCTTCCACCCCTCCTCGCTCTGCGCCGACCTGCCCTTCATGCACGAGCTCGTCCGCCGCAGGCTGCTCGCCCTGCCCCCCTCCTCCCCCTCGTCCTCCTCTGCGCCGCCTGCTGCTGCTGCTGCCACTGCTGGTGGCGGCTGGAGCCTCTGGAAGCAACGGGCGCCGCCGCAGCAGCAGCAGGGAGGAAGCAGAGGCGACGATGGTGGAGGAGGAGGGGCAGGTGGCGCAGGTGTGGTAGCAGCAGTAGGAGCTGGAAGAAGTGTTGATGACCCAGCTGCAGGAGGAGCAGGAGCAGGAGCAGCAGCAGGGGCAGCAGCAGTGGGCGGGTTGACATGGGTGGTGCCCATATTCCTCGGCTTCTCCCTGGATCTCTCCATAGCCTGGCAGCACTTCCCTGCCGCCCGCTCAGCTCTCACCCTGCACCTCTCGCCAACCTCTATCCTGCACGTGGCTCAAGTGCTGGTGCAGGTGCTGCCAGGGGTGCAGCAGGCTGTGGGCAGGGCCATGGGTCGGCTGAAGCAGCAGGGGGCGTCGGGGTGGGAGGAGGAGCTGTGGGGTGGCAAGCATGTGGGCGGTGGGGTCGCTCGTGGTAGTGCGGCTGGCGCTGCTGCTAATGATGAAAGCAGCAATACCAGCACCAGCACCTTTAACACCACTGGTACCAGCAGCAGCAGCAGTAGTAGTAGTAGTACAAATTCAAGCTCTAATTCCTCCTCTTCGCTCTGCTCCGTGCCTGGCCTGGCAGTGCTACGCAGTGCACGGGAGATCCTCTCCCTCATCCGCCACACAGCCGCACTCCTCAGGTGGCTGCTGCAGCATCGCGCCTCTCTCACGCTGCACCTTTCCCTGCCTATCATCCTCACCACCCACCGTCTTGCCCGCTCAGCCCAGCTCCACGCACAATCCTGTGCTCGCGTTGCTGCTGCTGCTGGCCTGTCATCCCCCGGCTGGTCGGAGGCAAGCCAGGTGGCTGCTGAAGTAGCTGCGGGCTTCCTGTTGCCGGAAGTAACAGGTGGAGTGGCTGTGGGCTCGATACAGCAAGGCAGATCTGACAGCAGCGGAAACAGCAGCAGGAGCAGCTGGTTTGGTGGTTGGAGCAAACGAGCTCCTGCAGCACCAGCCTCCTCCTCCACCACCATTGTCCCTCATCCTCCTCCCATCCCCCCTCCCTCGGACCACGATCCGCTGTTCACTCTCCTCCTTTCGTTCGCTGAGCTCCAATCAGAGGCCGCCACGTGTCTCTCCGCTATCATTGCTCGCAGAGAGGACAGCTGGCACTGCCTGAGGCAGGCGGCGTGCGCACGGCTGGACGGCCTGGCTCGGCTGTTTGTGGGCGGGCAGGGTGTGGAGGGAGGGGAAAGAGGCGCAGCGGATGGTGCAGACAGAGGGGGAGTTGAGACTGGGAGCAGAGGAGGGGATAGGCGAGGGGTGGGAGATGGGGGGGAGGGGATGGCGGGTATGGGGTGGAAGGATGGGGCGGATGGGAGCATTGGGGAGTGGTTTCAGCGACTGTCATGGCAGGTGAGGGGAAGGTGAAGGTAGGTGAGGGTAGGTGAGTGCAACGGTGCTCTTAGATGGGAAAGACAGGAAAGTATTTTTTACGGCAAGCACCCTCAGCTAAAGTACACTCGGTTACCCATTACAAGAATGTGCATGATGGCAACCAATCCCATGCGCATACACTTGTTTTTTGTTTCTGTCATTCATAAGGAACAGACATGTCTATCTTCCCCCCTCTCCGCTACCGCCTCTACGTGCAATCCCCTTCCTTTACACACGGTCGGCCACCCCTTATGCTTTGTCCCGAGTACCTCATCGGCACACCTTCCATCCTGTCCCTTCTTCCAATCTTCCTCTCTTCTTCTTTACCACCCCAATGTGTGTCTACAGGTGTCGCACTGGCAGCACCCAGACGCGCCCTCAACGCCCGCCAGCCTGCAGCAGCTCTCCCTCGCCCTCGCAGACGCTGCCTCCCTGCACCACATTCAGTCGCACCCGCTCGCCGGCCAATCCCTGCACGCCACCTGTCGCCTGCTCCAGGACATGGCTCTAGTGCAGGCCATTCGTTCTGACCACCTTGCAGCGCTCTCTGCTGCTGCCGAGCCTGGGTTCCTCTGGGCGCTGCTGCCAAGCCTGCTGCCGTGGCTGCAGGCTCGGGTGAGGCTGCAGCCGGAGTGTCTGGGGCAGGTGGGGTGCTTGCTGGTGTTGATGCGGTCAGGAGTTGCTGGAGCAAGCGTTGGTACTGCTGGCTCCAGCAGTGCGGACTCTGGTGGCACAGGTAAGCATGTTCATGCTCGGGCCTCTGCTGCCTCCGCTGGTGCTGGTGGTGTTGGCGGTGGTGGTGAGTTCAGGGCACGAGCTGGAAGAACAATAGCAGCTGGAGCAGCAACAGACGTTGCAGGCACCGCAGCAGCAGCAGGAGCAGGAGCAGGAGGGAGGGGGGAGTATCTGGAGAGGCATCTGCGGTGTGTGTCACGAGCAGTAATAGCGGTGGTGCCGGCCAGTGTGCTCAACCTCATGCACGCATGCACGCTCGCCCTCCTCCCACCGCCCTCCCATGCCCTCGCCACCCACTCCCTCAACACAGACAGCACAGCAGGAGAGGGGGTAGCGAGCACGCAGGGCAGGCAAGGGGGGCTGGGTGAGGTGGCAGAGGGGCAGGGTGGTGAGAGCAAGGCACAGGTTGCTGCGCGGGTGCATGGGCAGGCTGTGTTCCGGCAGGCCATGGGTCGAGCACGGGCTGCTGTGGCGGGATTCTCTGCGGGCGTGGCTGCGTTTGAGGCCAAGGGGCTGCCGTTCATAGGGAGGGAGGGAGGCGCTAGACGGAGTGTCACTGCTGCTCCAGCAGCCGCCGCCGCCGTTGCTGCTGCTCATGCTGGCACTGCTGGCATGGCTGATGGTGCAACTGCCGTTGTTGCCAGTACCTCTAGTGGCTCTGCTCCCTCTAACCGTCCTCCTGATTCCACCACTGCAGTTGGCACTTCTCGTAATTCCAGTAGCACTGGTGCGAGTAGCACTGGTGGCATGAAGAGCAGGGACGAGTGGGCAGCGGGAGCATGCCATGCCGTGGTGGTGGCACTGCGACTCATGCTCAGGCGCCATGCAGCCTCTATTCTGCACACCGGCTTCTCTGAGGCGCTTAAAGCCCTGCACGGCGCAGGGCTGAGGCAGCGGGGGGGGGAGGGAAAGGCGGATGGGGGCAAGGGCAGTGGCTGGGCGGGGCTGTGGTCCTGGGGGGGGAAAGGAGGGGGTGTGGATGGGGAGGGGGGTGAGGGGAAAGGGGCGGAGGAGGAGGGGGGAGGTGGTGGGGAGAGGAGGAGAAGGGAGGGGTTTGAGAGGCGGGTGGCGCAGATGGAGAGGGAGCTGGGTGCGTGGGAGTACTGCACGTGCCTGTTTGAAGATGTGCTTGTAACAAGCACCAGCGGGAGTGAAAGGTGGAGTGGGAGTAGGTTAGCGGCTGCAAGGGTGGGTGGAGGTAGAGGAGGAGATAGTGGTGGGGGTTCGGAATCAGTTTTCTCTCCCTCGTCTCCCTCTCTCCTCTGGCACACTGCCGTGCAGCCCCTGCTGCTGCAGGCCCTGCAGCAAGCGCGTGGGGAGACAGAGAGAAAAGGAACAAGCGGTTACAGGTCACACCCTTCCACCTCTGCCAATGGCGGAACCTTCTTGGAAGCTGCGTTGTCATCGCTGTTGGTCCTCTCGCACCCCTCCCACGCCATGTTCCTCCCGCCCCTGGCTGCATGGTTCCTCCCCTCGGGCCTGCCCTCCCTCTCCCTCCCCCTCATCCTCCGCCTCGCCTCTTGCCTCTCTGCCACTGGCCGCATTCCCAGCACCCCTCCCAGCAACCCTCCTGCTGCTGCCACTGGCACCACCCATACAGCCTCTGCTCCTTCACATGCAGCCTTAGCGGGCGGCGTTGCCAGTCTGACCGGGGAAGGTGCAGCAGGAGCAGGGGAAGAGGGGCCAGGCGTTGCGCGAACAGCAGAGGGGCTTGTGGCTCTGGACTGGGCGCTGAGGAGAGCAGAGGAGGAGCGATTGAGGCGGGCGGTGCAGGTGGTGAGTGCTATGGAGAAGGAGAGGAGGCGGGTGTTGCTTTGGCTGGTCGAAGAGCTGAGGGAGGGGGGGGTGCAGCGGTGTGAGCAGGGAGAGGAAGTGGGTGGGGGAGAGCAGCGGCATGTGCGAAAAGCTAAGGTGGCAGGATCAGGAGGGGGAGGAGGTCGGGGTGAGGCAGAGGTAGCAGCGTCAGTGGGAAGGGCAGCTAAGTCAGCGGTTTCTATGGGGCGGCATGTGTTGGCAGCGTATGGGCGAGCAGAGCATGGGATTGCCCAACCAATGGCCCAGGGAGAGGCGTGTGACGCAGGGGTAGGAGGGCACGGAAGCATTAGCACAGCAGGCAGGGGCAGGGTGGGAGGCGCAGGAAAGGATGGTGCATTGAAGGCGGGGGCAGCAGCAGGCGAACCTGGGGCCGGTGCAGGCAGGGTGGCTGCAACTGCTCCCTCCTCGGCAAAAAGAGGGCCTGGCGAGAACATGGGAGATTTTGCCGGGACGGTGACAGGTGTCGTGAGGGCACTGGCGGAGGCGGGTCAGGTGCGGCTCGTGCGAGGGCTGGTGCGCATGGCTGCATGCGCTGCCACAGGGTGTGAAACCCCTGCTGCTGCCCGGTCCGTGGAGTGCCTGCTGGCCTCCCTGCACCCACACGGTGTTGCTCCTGCTCACACTGCTGCCGCTGCTACTGCGGTTACCAGCAGTCTCTCGCCTGACACTGCTGCTGCCAGTACCAGCACGACCAGCACCAGCAGTTGCAGCAACGACTGTGTTCTGACAGTGCAGCTGCTCGTCCTCGTTTCCCTCTCCCACCTCCGCCTCCTCCTGCTCGACCCCTCCCTCGCTTGCCTCTCCCGCCGCACACGCAGTGCCAATGCATTTGATGCGAGCTGTCTGGCGGCCGGCATATGCTGTCTTTTGTCAACACTGCCGAATCCTAGAGAGAAGATTGTGCTGTATGAGGGATGCATGGAGGATTATGGGAATGCTGAGGTGGCGGTAGGTGGGCTTGGGAGTGGTTTGGAGGAGAGCGAGGTGCATTGGGTAGGAAGTAGGAAAAAGGCCGAGGTTGCTGGTCCGGGTAGGGCGATGATTAGATTGGTCGAGGCATGGCTGGCTCAGTTTAGAAGCATACATACCATCTCAATGTGAGAGTTGTGGTGATAATTCATTTGTCCATGGTGGGCACCTGCGTTGAGACAAGAATGGTTGAATGTGGTCGATGTTCCTTTTTATGCCTTCCATTATTCAGAGCCTCCAGCTTGTACCGGATATCGCGAAGCCTGTTGCTGAGTTCGATGGGGGAATTTTGCGGAAGTCATTTCGAAATTCGCAGGAGCAGCCCGATTTTCCCGCCGAAGAGAGCTCGCTGTGCTGCTGCTGACCACGAAAATAGCCTAGGGAATGGAACCCGCAACTTCTCATGTCCATGTCAGCAGCATTTAGCCAACATCGCACTACCACGTCGACTAGTCAAAACATTCGCGGTGCAAAACTACTGGAGGATCTAGAGCATCAGAAGGGACGTCCACGTCCCTCACGACGAATTCGCGCCCCAAGTCCGGCCACGTCAGAATCTTCAGCCCAGGTTCCCCAAAGGTTGCGCCAGGTGCAGTGCGCTGCGCTGAAAGCGAACAAGCCCCACACAGAACCACCACAGGTCACATGACATGCGCAACCGACATGCCGCGCCTCGCCTGACTTTCTCCTCATTGTACAAATTCAGTTCTACACATTTTTCATTAATCGCAGTCGACATTGAGACCACCTTCATCTAGAAATTAACAGCATTTTTCTACGCGCTACGCGTTTCATTTCGACATAACATCCATGGCCTTCGCACTCGCTTCTCGTCAGGTCCTCTCAGGTCTCTCCTTCAGCTCTGCCGTCAGAGGCACCGAGCTCGCCACCCGCAGCCTCCCCGCCGTTCCCCAACTAGCAGCTCCCCGCGGCCTAGGCGTCACCGCGCTCTTCAGCTCACGGAAAGCCGCCGTCCCCGCTAAGAGCATCCCCGCAACGAATCTGCGCACAGAGGACGGCATCTTCGGGACGTCGGGCGGGTTCGGGTTCACCAAGGCGAACGAGCTGTTCGTGGGGCGCGTGGCCATGCTGGGCTTCGCGGCGTCGCTGCTGGGCGAGGCGATCACGGGCGCAGGCATTCTGTCGCAGCTCAACATCGAGACGGGCATCCCTATCACGGAGACCGAGCCGCTGCTGCTCTTCTTTATCGCCTTCACCGTGCTCGGCGCCATCGGTGGGCTGGGCGACCGCGGGCGATTCGTGGACGACGAGCCGGCGGGGCCGCCTGTGAAGCCCGGCAGCATCAAGGCGGCGCTGGGGCTGAGCGAGGACGGGCCGCTGTTCGGATTCACCAAGGCGAACGAGCTGTTCGTGGGGCGGCTGGCGCAATTAGGGTTTGCGGCGAGCCTGATCGGCGAGGTGATCACGGGCAGGGGCGCGCTGGCGCAGCTCAACATCGAGATCGGCGTGCCCGTGTGGGAGCTCGAGCCGCTGCTGCTTGCCAGCATCGCCTTCTTTTTCGTCGCCGCCATCAACCCCGGTACAGGGAAATTCATTAACGACGACGAGTGAGTCGGATCGTCTTGTGGGTGTCATTGTACATAAATTGTTGTGTACTAGCTATGTTATTGCAAATAAGAAACAATTCTATTAAATACTTCTGTCCTCAATGCCGTGTAAACAAAACCAGCTCGGATGAAACAGAACGTGCCTCGGAAGTTGAACAACAGTCTGGCATTCTCCATCCGTATTCCCATTCACCCTCTCACCTATTCCCACCCGCATTCTGACCGTTCCTTCTCGCACTCCCAATCGCTCTCAGACACCACTCCATGCATGACTACCGCCCCATGCATGTTTCACCACCACAAACATGATCACCAACCCACGCACGCTCACCACCCCATGCTCATTGCCCCATGCATGATCACCAACCACCACACGCATGATCACCACCCTATGCATGTTCACCACCCCTCGCATGCTCAGCAACCCATGCATGCTTACCACCCCATGCATGCTCTCCACCCCATGCATGCTCACCGCCCCATGCATGCTCACCACCCCACGCATGCTCTCCACCCCATGCATGCTCTCCACCCCATGCATGCTCACCACCCTATGCATGCTCACCACCCCATGCATGCTCACCATGTATGCACAACAGCTAACCATCACCACACCACAATTCCTCACGACCAGAAACGCAAACTGCACCCCATTCAGCGTCCCTGAGTGTGAAAATATATTATCTCTGATGACACCTAAAGCATAGACTGCTTGACTAGGCTGCTCTTCACATAGGGAAATGCTATGTCAACACGGATCACCTCAGATGTGTTGAGCTGGGAAAAGCCCTTGTGATCGTTTCAAGACAGAAGACTTAGAATGGTGATGTATTAGCGCAAACGTATTTGTGAACTGATTAAATCACCTATCACTATTATGTGAGAACAAGAAAAGTTGAGAAGAGCAAAGAGAGACAAGCTTTTTGTATGAGTATAAGGAATATAAAAGGGTTTCATTATCTGTAATTACTGTTGCGAATTGACCCAACGACACGGGGAACCGCTCAATATCGAGCTAGTTATATATCCTTGCTGTCGCGTTGCCTTCGATCAGTTAATGTTTTAAGGTTTTAGCCTTCACTTAACTTCTCGCTATTGTATTTTTGTGTAAGGAGTTTTCTCGGCATTCCTTACGGGGTCCGACTACATCGCGTACAGCAACAGCCGTTGTTCGCCCGTTACTACTAATGAAGCTTCGCTAACTTCGCGCGCACTGTTTTGCCAAACCTCGCACTGCTGGCCCGATCGTGTCGGCCTACGTTTCGGGACTAGCCCGAGCCTCGTTGCCAGCATAGCACTAGCTAGCTCGCACGCACCGCATTACCGTTTGCATGTTTCGCGAATAAATGTTCGCTCATGCCTTCGCTCACATTTTGTACTCGTTTGACACCTTAGTGCAACTCTCGCTACCTCGATCCATTGCACCCGTAACATTTTGTCAACCTCTTCGGTTGACTCAATGTTGCTTCGCTAAAGTTCGCCTTGTCAGAACATATAGCTTACTTATTTCTGTAGGCTATAGTGGGGTATCCCATAGGGGGTACAACCCAATTAGGGTTTCCTATTTGTACCCACTTCTTTTTCATAGTCATTCACTTCTCGTTCGTACTTTCTCATGGAATCAGAGCAGGTCCCTTCCTAGGGCCTGTTCCTAGGGCCCACCGAAGCGCGCCCCGAGGCGCGCATTTTTTTTAGCGACCCTCCGAGTCGCCCCTCCCGTCGTGCTCCCGCTTAGGCCCCTCGTCGGCCCCCCGCTTAGGCCCCTCGTCGGCCCCCCGCTTAGGCCCCTCGTCGGCCCCGCTTAGGCCCCTCGTCGGCCCCGCTTAGGCCCCTCGTCGGCCCCTGCTTAGGCCCCTCGTCGGCCCCGCGTACCCCTCGTCGGCCCCGCGTAGGCCCCGCGTACCCCTCGTCGGCCCCACGTAGGCCCCGCGTAGGCCCCGCGTACCCCTCGTCGGCCCCGCGTAGGCCCCGCGTACCCCTCGTCGGCCCCGCGTACCCCTCGTCGACCCCGCGTACACCTCGTCGGCCCCGCGTACACCTCGTCGGCCCCGCGTACACCTCGTCGGCCCCGCGTACCCCTCGTCGACCCCGCGTACACCTCGTCGACCCCGCGTACACCTCGTCGGCCCCGCGTACACCTCGTCGGCCCCGCGTACACCTCGTCGGCCCCGCGTACACCTCGTCGGCCCCGCGTACACCTCGTCGGCCCCGCGTAGGCCCCGCCCAGGCCCCGTCTCGGCCCCGTGTCGGCCCCGCGTAGGCTCCGTCGGCCCCGCTTAGGCCCCTCTTCGGCCCCGCGTCGGCCCCACCTACGCCCTGTCGGCCCCGCGCTGGCCCCGCTTAGGCCCGCCACCGGCCCCTGCTACAGCCCGCCGCGTCGGCCCCGCCTACAGCCCGCCGGCCCGCCTAGGCCCCACTTCGGCCCCTCGTCGGCCCCACTACAGCCCGCACCGGCCCCTGCTATAGCCCGCCACCGGCCCTGCTACAGCCGCCACCGGCCCCTACTACAGCCCGCCGCCGGCCCTGCTACAGCCCGCCACCGGCCCTGCTACAGCCGCCACCGGCCCCTGCTACAGCCCGCCACCGGCCCTGCTACAGCCCGCCACCGGCCCTGCTACAGCCGCCGCCGGCCCTGCTGCAGCCCGCCACCGGCCCTGCTACAGCCCGCCACCGGCCCTGCTACAGCCCACCACCGGCCCTGCTGCAGCCCGCCGTACTGCACGTGAGCAGCCCCAGCAGCCCGCGCCGCCCGTCAGCCCCTACGCCACCCGAGCCGCGCGAGCCGCGCGAGCCGCCCGAGCCGCCCGAGCCGCCTGAGCCACGCGAGCCACCTGAGGAGCCGTGCTGCTGTCCCTGAGCTGTGTTCCTCTGCTGCTGACCTACCCGACTCTTCCAGCCCGGTGAGACTTTCAGCTGCTGCCATGGCCACCCCCAATGTTCTTACTTTTGACGCTGAGGGGAGGGCCATTGACTTTGCCGTCTGGATTGAAGACCTGCAGCTATACTTACTGTGTGATGCGATAGATGAGGTCTCTCTCTTTGACTTTGTCTCTGGAGCTGTCCCTGCCCCGCCTGCTGATGCTGACTCTGCCGTTCGCTCCAAGTGGGCGACCCGCGATGCTGCTGCACGTCTTGCTGTGCGTCGCCACCTCCCTTCCTCTGAGCGTGCCCACTTTAGTCAGTGCAAGACCGCTCAGGCCTTGTACGACGCTGTAGTTGCACGCTACTCCTCTCCTTCCTCCGCTACCCTTAGCCGCCTCATGCTACCGTTTCTCTTCCCTGACCTCGCTTCCTTTCCCACTGTCGCTGACCTCGTTACCCACCTCCGCACTAGTGACGCTCGCTACCGCGCTGCCCTTCCTGCTGAGTTCCGCGCCGCAAACCCTCCTCCCATGTATATCACTCTCTACTTTCTCGTCACCCGTCTTCCTGAGTCCCTTCGTGTCGTTAGGGACCAGTTTCTCGCTGTCTGTCCCACCACCCTCACTGTCGACCTCCTTGAGGAGTCCCTGCTAGCGGCTGAGAAGAGTATAGTCGCTGTAGGGGCCTCTAGGGGTGACCCTCGCACCCCCATCTTTGAGGGGTGTTCTCCTTCCCCCCTGCTGCCCTCTGTCGCCTCTGCTGCTACGGCCGACCTCGCTGGTTTTGAGTCGGTCGGTGCGGCGTCTGCCCCCAGCGGCAGACGCCGCTCTGGCAAGGGCAAGGGGGGCAAGGGAGCGGGTGGATCTAGAGGAGGCAGTGGCGGAGGAGGTGGGGGTGGCGGGGGGAGTGGGGGTGGCGGTGGAGGTGGTGGCGGGAGTGGGGGTACCGGTGGAGGAGGTGGAGGCGGAGGTGGCGGCGGAGGCGGCAGCGGAGGAGGCGGGGGCGAGGGTACCGGTGGGGGCGGTGGCGGTGGAGACGGGGGTGGCGGTGGAGGTGGGAGTGGCGGTGGAGGCGGGAGTGGCGGAGGCGGCGGGGGTCGGAGTGGCTCGTCCCAGCGGAGCAGTTCTGGGGGTGGTCAGCGCCAGCAGCAGCAGCAGCAGCAGCAGCAGCGGTCTCGCACCGTCCCCGCCCCTCAGCAGCTCCGTGAGTGGTACTTGCAGCGTCAGCGTGGTGGTGCGTTTGGTCCCTGCCCCTACGTTCTTCGCTCCGGCGACCGTGCGGGGGAGAGGTGTGGAGGCACCCACACAGCGCGCCGCTGCTTTGGCCGCCTGACCGACGCCTGGCGTCAGCAGTTTCCGGAGGCCGCTGAGATCCCCCGCTGGGGGGAACTGTCTAGGGCTGGTGTAGCCATTTATGATCTTGACTTTGATGCTATTCTCTCTGCTATGTATGCTGTGACTGGTAGTGATGAGGATGACTGTTACCGGTGTTTCCCGCCCGACCCGGGCATTGGTACTGCCGCGTCAGGTACTAGTGAGGCTGCTGCTCTAGGTGCCAGTGCGTCTGTGCTCTCAGGTGCTGGTGAGTCTGCCCTCTCAGGTACTGTGTCGGCTTCGGCCTCTCACACCTTCACCCTTGACTCTGGAGCGTCTCGCTCCTTCTTTCGGGACCGCACCACTCTCACGCCACTGAGTCGGCCGGTTGCGGTGTCCCTGGCTGACCCCTCTGGGGGGCCTGTCCTGTCTCGCTTCTCCACTGTCCTCCCGTGTCCGGCGGCCCCCTCTGGCACCCTGACTGGTCTCTACCTCCCCTCGTTCTCGACGAACTTGGTGAGTGGTGCTGACCTCCAGGATGCGGGTGTCCACCAGTTCACCCCTGCTCGTCAGCGGGTGACTCACTGCACTGAGGCGGATACAGGTCGCCACCTGGCTACGTTCACACGTCGGCCAGGGTCGAGCCTGTACACACTGACCACTGCTTCTCCTCCAGGTACTACGTCTGGTAGGGTCCCTTCGTCTGGTCAGGTGTTTGCTGCAGCGTCCAGGTCCGGTCCTGAGTCAGCCCCCTGCTCGTGTCGTCGTCTGTCTCACGAGACCCTCCTCTGGCACCACCGCCTTGGCCACCCCTCTCTGCTTCGGCTCA